ACATCTTTTTGGCACAAAAGCTAAGTTAAGTTTGGTTCAAAATATTTTAAATAAACATTATAATTTCTGATTTTCTTAAAATAAGTTTTGAAAAAATGATAATTGATATTTAAAAAAATTTCAAAGTCAGATTTCCAGTTTTTTTTAAAATGGAAAAAAATGGTCAATTTGCTGACTAAAAAAAAACTAGATTTCTAACGAAAATTTCGGACGTGCTAGGAACGATTAAAAAATGGAAAAAAATACCCCCAAAATACTTTGACCTTTCCTCTTAATAATAACAAACATTTAGACGATAAAATTTTGTTTTCGTCAAGTTTGGCGTCTTTTTCATCATGCTATGCTCTTTTTTTAGTGATCTCGTGGAGGTACCTAGCTAAAAGTAATATAAAAATATGTTGACTGACACAATTATTAATCAGTAAAGTGACACCAAGCTGTCAACTTGTAGTTTTACATGTTTCAATGAATGAGAATAAAAATGTGAAGGGAACCATACAAAAAAAAAAAAAAAAATATAGAAAGCTACCCTACAGCAGTGATAGGGTCTAATGCACAAGTTCTGAGACTATCAACAGACCCATGTGACAATAGTAATGAAGAAATAGGAAACCTGCTTAGTGAAATGTGAACATTTGACATAAAGTATCAGTTCACTTGATGCTTACATTCATCACAAAACCCTATATCTCGAAGGACATAAACTACTGTAAATTTGTATGGCTCAAGACTGAATTTGGAAATCTCTGGAAGCGCCATATACAGGTCCATATAAAGTAGTTAACGGCAATAATAAGTACTTCACTATTACAATTGCAGAAAATAAGAATAGCAATGTTTCCATAGACAGATTGAAAACAACAGGTGACTCAAAAACAGTGAAAATACCTAATATTGATAAAGCAATACCAGCACAAGGAAATACCTCACCAGTTACTAACAGGACTATGGTGATAAGACAGCAAAACTCAATTAAGTCTGACAGATCAGTTACTTGGAAAAGAGACTATACTTACCACCATTATTCATAGAAATAGATGCATTGGCAATCAAATTTTCAGCAAATCCGGATCCCAGACAGGCAAAAAACATCCCTCGTGGCCACATATTGAAGGTCTTCCCTGATAGTGGGGCCACCATATATGTTGGGGGACCAAGGCATTTACTGAAGATAGGACTCACACAGAACAATCTTGCCTGAACCATAGGGAGGTTTCCCTCTCATATGTTAAGGTTGGTTGTCTGTGAGATTCGTGGTCAAAGGAAAGACAACTAAACAAGCCGTCTACATATTTGAAAAAATTCAGTGGTTTTATTTCAGCAAGGCAGCCTGCATGGATATGGGAATATTGCATGAAGATTTCCCAAACATAGTTGTCACAGTGTCAACCCCAGTTAATGTTGCAATGCAATACAGTAGAGTACTGGTCTGGTCTGTTCGTCCAATTAAATCCTACCTGACGTTGTGAACAGGATTTGAAAGAACATCATCAAATCTGGGAAGGGAAGAGATGCAATGAGTGAGAAATAACTCCCTTCACCAACTCCTTTCAAATTTGGAGGACTGATGAAGAAGGAAATAAATTTGCAAGCTTATGTAAAGTTTTCTCTGTACCAATGAAAACCATGCCTTTACAGAAATTGACCAGCGAGCTGAAGAGATATATGAAAGGAATTTGCAAGCCTATGTGAAATTGTTTTGGACCAGCAAAAATCTGGCCTTCACAGAATTTAGCTGGTCAGCCAAGAAGGAAAAAAATTAGCAAGCCTATAGCATCATCCTACCAACTTTTTTTTATCAATATCAATTTTCATACAAAAAGTGGATCACAGAGCTTATTCAGCTTAGTAAATATTTTCAGAAAATCTCAACTTCTAATTTGTCACTTAATATTTAATAACATCGATCTAGTTCTTGATCTGACCAAAAAGATAATTCCGCCAAAATCTATCAAGCTTCTATGAGCCTATCATGTGACCAAAGTTAGCAATAAAATATGAAACGTCTTTCATCTTCGACAGTGTGCCAATCAGAATCCTTTGAACTCATCACACAGTTCCAGGTTTTACGTAAAAGTTCCTTAACATGATTCCAGCCTGAGAGAACACTCATTCACACAGCAATATTTTATGACGAACAATCAAGTCAAGTTTTCCACATTCAACTTAATATATAAATCTCTTTCTTACGCTTTCAAGCTCAATGTTAATTATTGCAATTAACATAAACACAGCTTTTTAAGAACCACTTATTTCAACTACAGAATATTTTCTTTGAACCAATGAAAGCAAATCAAAGAGCAACAATTCCGTAAACCTTAAAGTAAGTTTTAAACAATATTTCTCTACTTCAAATACAAACATGAACTGTTTATTTTTTTCTTAAATTACTATAATACCAAACACACTTTCTCATTATTGTACGGACCATTCAACAAATTATAATCTATCAAGCCAGAACTTTGATAACTTTTCATCTAAACATAAAAGGACATTTGAACTTTTTAAAACCACCTCTTTACTCCAGTTGTTTTTGTACCTCTTGTTTATATAAATATTTTATTCATTGTTGTGCAAAAACTGTTGTTTCTCATGTTGACCTTATTCTATATTTGTTGAATACTAAAATTTAATGTGAGAGGAAATTGTTAATTTCATCATGCAGCCCAATTTACTCAACAATTTTTTTATTCATATACTTAATTAACACAACCTTCACAAGCCTATGAAAAATTCTTTTTGATATAAAATGAAAAAATGAAATTAATGAGTGTCTGAAGTCATGTGAAAGGTTTTGTTTCTGTTCCTTGTGACCAATGTTGAAGTACTTGCCAATTATATTATCAGCCTCCAACCAGCACTTCAAAGAATTTTCTCTAAACAATGCAAGAAAGGTAAGTATTTGAAACTATCTTTCTATCTACTTTTGAATGTATGGAAACCATATATCCATTCAGTGAGCTACAAACTCTCTTATCTTTCTGTCAAACATTTTTTAATATTATTTTTGCAGGCGGTGTATGCAGTGAGCGATAAAAACATGTGTCTTCTGAAATACCCACAACCAACAGGGAGGACACGTAGTACAAACAAATGATAACATACTAACAATAAAGGGTTACATATATGATTGAATATCTTCTGTGAGAAACTTATATGTAAAGTAAGATGAGGCTGCAAATAATTATCACTGAGTATTTATAGTACCAGAAAGCGACCCAAATAGCAGTTTCAAAAACTAGGAGGAGGTAACCCAAAATTATTTTGTGTCAGATCATTTAATCTGTTGTATAAACATTTCCTTTCATGACAATATGTTAAAAACTACGGACTTTAAGAATTTTGATTTATTTTGTTAAAATTACCCATGTATTTCCTTATCATTACAATAAACTTTATGGCGTGGATAGATCAACTATTCATTTTAGCCACATGACACTTATTTTCATTATTATTAATCTCCTTAAAAGATTGTCTCACTTTTTAAGTTTTAGAGATTGCAAATGGTATTTTTTTTTTAAATATTCAACACAAGTTAAAAAAAGAAGAAGTAATAATTAAAATCGAAATGAGATTTTATTAAGAAGTTAAAAAACGATTTATTTTAAATTTCGTAATATGAGACGTTCATTGATAATTATTTTAAAACACGTACAACCGAGAAAATCAAAGATTAGAAAACAACTTGATTAGCGAGAGTAAGTAATTATTATTTATAGGAACTAAAAATTTTAAAACTTTCTTTTAACCTTGATAAAGTCAGCTAATGTGATTGAATGTGCGGAGATTGTTCAAGAAAAGATAAAAACAAATACTTCACTACTAAGATTTATGATGTAATGCTGGGCGGGTACAAACGGGTGGGTTTTTCAGTTTTAGTAAAAACATTAAAAAACCAGCCTGACAAAGAAAGAATTAAAGATGACATGATATTTTTGGTTTTAGCAACAGAATTTGTTTCTCAAATCAAATTAAAAAAAAAAAAATTCAATTTGAAATGAAATATGTAGTCACTTGAGAGAGGGTTAAGGTTACCGTTAAAGCAAGACATTTTTAAAATGCGTACTTTAAGTGACAAAAAGTAAAAAAAAAAAAAAAAAATCAGTATTGCAACTTTTAACAATTTAGGAAGCTGAAATTTTTTTAAAAATTAGTTAAATTTGAATAAAAGAAAAGCACACTTCAAGTTCTGTATTACTTGTGAGAATAAAAAAAAAGAAAAGGGTAAAAAAAGTTATTTGTTTGCATCATGCGGCAAATCCTATTTTAAATTTAAAAAAAAAAATAGTCGAATATTTGACTTAGAATCTATATCTTTTTTTAAATTTTTTTTTTAAATCAAATGCTAAATATTGCATAACCAAGAAGATACAAAAAAAATTAGAATACTTTGTTTTTTAAATAGGTTCGTAAGATTAACTGTCGATCGCGTGAAACTAATTTAGCCTTTAATTAATGAAAAAGACAGAAGATGGTCATTAAAAAAAACAATTTAATCAAGACAAAAGCATTACTACTCTGCATACACAGACTTCAAAACAATGCCCCCCAACAAAAAAAAAATTAAAAAAAAAAATCTAACGAACGTACGTCTGGATAGTCACAAAGTTTTTTTGTCAAAGTAAATTTACTGAATGAATAATAAAATAAAATGACTCCCATTAGCTGATATTTCAGACAATTCTTACAAAATCATTATTATCAACAGACAGACAAAAAAAAAAAAAAAAACGTAAAATTAAGCGAATAACAAATTGTATTGAAATAATGACAAGACAAGAAGGGCCCCATTTTACCCCGCCAATTTAAACAAAGTGTAATCAAAACGTTGGGACATTATTAATATAAAGAATTTAAATTTCTTTTTATGAACAAAGATTAATTCAAGCTTTTCTTGTGGACAAAATATTAAATTATTCCTTTACAAATGGCTTCTGATGGTTAAATCTATGTCCCAAATCATCGCGCGCTTAAGAAAAACGACAAACAATTGAACTTACCACAGCTACACGTTTTGTCGCCATCTTGTCACATTAACCACAATACCCGGTGCACATTTGAAAGTCCCTTGCGATACAAAGTTCCGCTTAGTCTAAATTTTCTTTGTAAGACTACTATTACCAACATTTTGTCGCAGTGCAATGGTTATTATTCAGATCACCTTAAAGAATAATATGCAGCTGTTTTCTACCTTTATGTGCCGTGTCCTTTCATGACGTAGGCGATCATAGCCCGCCACATTTTCCTGTCCCTTGTAGCTCTTAATAAGTTTTGTCTTTTTGAAATTTCTATCAAACCCTGTTCTAACACCCATTTACTCAAACCTATCAAGTATGTTCGCGCTGCTTTCCGCTGTCGCTCTTTTCTTCAATCTGCCCTGTGGGTACCAGATTTTCCAAACCCTCCTTGGAAGAAATATTTATTCTTCCATTTGTATTTTCCCCGTTATAGGCATTATTAAATCCATGATAGAATAATGCCGATATTTCACGCACGGAACGGAATGACTGAAAAGAAAAAGAATGACAAATATGCTTTGTTTTCAGAAAGACTTTTATATTATTAAGACAGACACAAAACTATTACATACATACACGTGTCCCACGCGGAGAATAATATATCATATAATTTACACAGAGTGTAAGGAGAAACAAAAATGGAAGGTCTTACATATAATATGGAGACATTCCTGTATCTGGAGAAGCCATTTTTAGAAACAGAAACTAACTGCCGCATTGGTCACTGTATGGAGTGCCGCCATTAAGCGGCCGTCACGGGATCCACTTGACTTACCTCCATTAATTGGAGTTAAGCGCCTTCTGCATCCCTACAGGTGCCTGAGAAATTTCAACTGCCTCTTACTTATGCTAAGTATAAGTTTCCTTTTTGTTTCCATTTTCTCTAAAACATCGTCGTTGCTCACAAGTTGGAAATCTTATTACCTTCTTAGTTGAATTTTGAATACCTTCTTCCTTCAAATTCGAGTATCTTCTGAAGCTTATGTGCAGGCCCTTCTCTTTATATAAGAAATAAAGAGAAATAAAGAGGCTCCAGATAGACCTTAATTGCAAATTTACGTGGGCGTAAGCTTACGCTTTAGATTAGATAATAACTAGAAATAGTACTTTTTTTTAATTTAAAAAGTGAATTTGAAACAATCCACCTTGATCGAAATCATTTTGGTGGTTCTTCAACAGTCAATTCTAAAAAATAGAAAGATTTACATACAAATGTATAATTTTTTTTTCCTAAACCGACTAACTTTCTTTAAAATAAAGACAAAACTAGATATTTATCATATTTATTTACATTTTTTTTTAATTATTATTTTTAATTATTTTATACTATAAACCAATAACATCTTTTATAGTACGAATATGGACATTTCTATATACATATCCGAGGCAACAAAAGTTCGTTTATGAGACAGATCTTGATAGCAGTCGGGAGAAAGTCCGTTTCGGTAGTGGGTCGTTTTAGAGTCGGAACTTAGTGGTGGTAGTAGTAGTAGTAGTAGTAGTAGTAGTCATCTTAGAAATAAGTCGGCGTCAATCTGCTGTCTTTATCTCAATTTTAAGAACAGTAGAACATATTTGCAGATGACCTTTTAACTTCTTCACCCGTCACGCATGGCTGGTTTTTCAGGCGTTATCTTTGATCCGAGATGGAAGTTGGTTGGAGTAAAGAAACAAATTAGACACTGGTTTGGAGAAATGATAAAATATTTATTTTCATTTACAAGATAAAAATGTCTCTGGTAAGTCGTATAGTATAGCATTCGAATATAAGGTGTACAAGGTGTGGCGTGAAAGCGTGGAAAAGGGGTAAGCTTAAACCGGCTGAATTCTTGTTGGCTATCAGTTTGGGCTTGTCGCGTTGAGAGCGGAGTCCGTTCTCTTTCTGTGTTCACACGAGGTCGTTTTCATAGCCTAATGGTCGAGCGAGTAGTCAGCAGTGCTCTCGGGTAGCCTCTATGGTTAGCGTGTATGTGTGTGTGTGTGTGTGTGTGCAGTATCTCTCTCTCTACTCTCTGTAAGATATCCGGCTTCTCTCATAGTTTATATAGGGGATGTAGTTGTAGACATCTGTGGCAAGCAAGAGTTGCATCGATAATGGCCGGTACTCTGGTATATTTGTGTTTGTTTTAGAATTTGTTCTGAGCGGAGTGCGGTGTCTGTATGACTTAGCTAGACGAAAATTGGTATGTAGTTAGAGATATATGTTTTCTAATATTTGTATAAATTTGTTATCTCTATGTGTAAATTGTGTTTTTCTGCTACATCTTCCCTTGTTACGGTTTCTCTTACGGCCCCGTCTCCTGTCTGGCCTAGGACTGTCAGTTTATATACTTTTGATCATGGTCCAAGATTACTGGCACGACCCTTGGTTTCGGCTAACATCAAAAGTTTCTTTTTGTTAATTTTTTTTGATTGGCTCAAATTATTTTACTTTTCGACGTTCCTTTCTTTATTATTTTTTATATAACGGAAGATATTCGTCGTGCCTCTCTAAGTTTTGCTAGTTTTTAGTCACAAATGGCTAGACTCTGGTCCAGAAAACAATTTCGCCGTTTACTTGCTCTTTTTATTTCAGAGTTGCCTTAAAAAAGTATATAAAGAGAAAAAGATAAGGATTTTAATCGAGAGCAAATACCTTATTTTAATTCTTCCATTTTTATATATTAATTATATATATGTTTCATTTTATTCTATTTTTATCTGGGATCACTACAATTTCTGCTAAACCTTGTTCGGCCATCCATTATTAAAGAAATTTAAACACCTATAACACATTCCTCTCATCCTTTAACATCAATACACGGAAGGTTATTCGTGAGTATGAACAGATTTTGTTAAAAATTAGCAGACATAATGTCTGTAATATATTCAATCAGATATGTCTAAAAGAGAATTTTCTGCCTAAATACACAAAATTTTATATTTGTAATTAGTTTGAGATCCTCTCCGACTTTTAGATGTTTCGGTCGGCTGATGATGGTCATGTCTCAGCACCTACTCGCTTAGAGACACAACGCTTTGGCCAACAAACGAATTGTCCCAAGCAGCGCTGCCACTTCACACCCCGCAGATTTGTAGGCGTCTTGCGAGACAGGGAGACAGTCCCGAGTGCGCCATCCACAAAAGGGGCAGCTTGAGCTGCTGCTTAGTACACTTTGTGCCTCTGTTCCGCCCTCACGCTGCTCTTATCTGCAAAGTCTATCAGGATCCGTTCATAGCTGTCATCAGGGCCGGCGCTTACTGCCCCCGAACTGCTGCAAGGCTGACTGGTGGTCCTGGACATTATTTTATCAACATTTGCTTTTTTCTACAAACATTTATAGTAATTTTCAAAGCATGTCATAGATGTGGCACAAGGCCGAGTGTATAAAGCACCCATTGAGGATCGAACTCAATATTCAGTCGTAATAAATCTAGTGAGGTAAGCTTGCTAACCATTGCACCACGTCAAAGTGCCCTCTCTACAAAAATCCCTAATTAATCAGTGAAATTAACATGCCTCGGAGATTTTATACTTTTTGAAGGAGTTGGGGGGTGGGGTGTTATATACAATTTTTCCTACCCGGGCTCATATCAAGTCCGTTATTTGGCTAAGAAAACGAAATTCAAGCTTCCATAACATTAGTCAGCCTCTGATTCTAAGCAAAAGCGAATATTTTTTCAAGGCAATCCCCTCCCCTATTTGAAAGAAAGACGTAACACAGTCGTCCTATACACATCTATCTTATTTGCCTAATATTACGTTGCATAAATTTAAGACATTCTTCTTCTTCTTCTTCTTCTTCTTCACAAAACGTGGGATTTAAAACAAACGACAATTAATGCATGTATTGACACAAAGGAATTGTATTAATGTGTACACAATTGAAAGTAACGGAAAAAAGATATTAAAAATTAAACGGGTGCGTGTGGATGAATATCATTTTAAACGACAGATGTTCTTTTAAAGTATTTCTAAAACTATTTTAAAAAGATTGGAGGCTTTTTTTAAAGAGGCATTTACACAAAAATTTGGGAAGATAATTATTTATCTTAAATTGAGAATAAACGGATTTATAAATTGAGAATAAACGGATTTATAAATAAAGTTTATTGCTTGTTTTAAAAGTGTATCCGTTTGCTAATTATTTAAAAAGGATCTTTTTGTTAATAATGTAACAAATCTTTCACCAGGACATATTTGTTGACAATAGAATAACAGCAGTCGTACGTTGATATCAAAGACGTGAGCATAGTCTTTTAGTGAGTGTGAAATAGTAATAACTCCCTTCAGTTACTCCCTTCAAATTTGGAGGACTGTGGAAGAAGGAAATAAATTCGCGAGCTTATGTGAGATTTTTGCCTTTCACAGAAATTAACCGGTTAGTTGAGAAAGAAAAAGGAAAGAAATTTGTGATCCCATGTGAAAATGCTTTTGGACCAATGTAAACCTTGCCTTCACAGAAATAGGTGAGTATGCCAAGAAGAAGAAGGAAAGAAAGTAGCGAGCCTACGCGAAATTCTTTTTGCTATTAAATGAGGAGAAAAATTAAATTAAAGAGAAAAGTATTTTAAGTCATATGAAGTATTTCGTTTCAGTTCCTCGCAACCAGCGTTGAAGTATTCGCCAGTGTAAAATTACTCGCCAATTAAATTATCAGTCTCTAACCAGCACGCAGCACTTCAAAGAATTTTCTCTCAACAATCCAAGAAAGCTAAAATATTCAAAGTATCACTTTTCGTCTGCTTTTGAATGTATGCAAACCAAATAACCATTCAGTGAGCAACGAGTTCTCTTATGTATTTTTAATATTATTTTGTTTTAGATCATTTAATCTGTTGTATGAACATTTCTTCTTCATAGCAATGCTTTAAAACTACGGTCTTTAAGAATTCAGATTTATTTTCCTGAAACGAGCTACTGATACTAAAGCGTGTAAATTCATGAATAAATTCCTTATATTGTTTCGTTAAAATTACCGATGTGTTTCCTTGTCATTATAATCCTTCCTTAATCTTCTTGGCGT